GTCATCCGCGTCAGACGCGCTCCGGCTGATGGGGCTGCCAGCGCTGCACGTGTGCCAGAGAGTAAGCCCCAAATACATTTAATGTTGAGGGGGGTCGGGGATGGCACAAACACCACAGATTGGTGATTTTGAAACAAAAAAAAGCCCCGTCCTAACAGTGACCGTGTGTCTCCCACAGGCTGTGGAGGTGAATCAGACTGCAAAAAGGACCTTGCTCTTCCGTCCACAGGAAGAGATGAGGAAGTCAGAGCCATCCTGCTGGACAGCTTTCCTTTCATCTCACTTCATTCCCATTCCTGCAGTCTCTGGATGGTTCGATGTAGCCACAGCTCTCTGACCCAACACATCCGTGTCGCAGTGCCTTCTCCACGCCGATCCCAACGCCAAGCCAAGCCTCGCTGTGATGGAGGTTGGAAACGTTACCAAAGCTCGTGGACCAGCAGTGAATAATGTCAACCAGAGATCTGGCTCACAAAGTTCTTAGTGCCTTCAAGCTAGCAAGGCCAAAGGGTAAGCAAGCGGTGTTTTGCAGTCCCTGTGGATACACAAAACATGGGAAATTAAGGACAGAACAGCCTGGGCTTTGCCAAAGACTCAGCCAAAAAAAAAAAAAGCCATGCAAAGGCGTGCAAGACAACAGAGGAAGCTTGCTGAGCTTCCCAAAGCCAGCTGCACTCCAGCTTTCCAAGCTGCACGAGTCCACCCCAAGCCCCAGGAGCACCCGCCTTGCCTGGGAGTACGTGTCATGTTATCCAGATGTTGGAAGTCTTACTTTAAGCACATGTGACCCAGTGTGCTTGCAACAAGCTTCCACTGCCAGTTCACTCTTTGCTTGTTTCCAAGTGTGTGAATTCCTCTTTTAGCCTGTGGTTTCTGCTGAAGAAGCAGATAAATTATGGCTATCCAGCTATGGAATGGCTGGATGAGAGGGAGGTAGGCACATAGGACATACAGGGCAATGGTTGATGGCTGTTTGGCTTCATTCACACAAGGGCTGGAGCCTCCTTTCCCAGATCTCAGAACTTGTTTGCTGATGCTCACTCTCTCCCGGCCCTCTTCCAGCCCCACAGTGCTGCATAAACCTTGGCGTGGGGTGGGGCACCAGCAGCTCGCCAATGCCAAAACAAGGACCATGTTGCAGCAGCAGGAGGGGACCCAGGCCAGCTGCAGACCTCTGTCCCAACCCCATCTGAGTCTCCCACTGCCTCTGGGTGTTGGCTCCACATCTGAAGCAGGCACAGCTTGCCCTCACTCTCCATCCCACCCGTCTGGAATCAAGGCCACTTGCACGAGGACTTCCTTTACACTGGCTTCTTGTGCCTGGAGGCTGGGACAGCGGGGAAGCCGGGGGGACCAGGGAGAAACCACCCTCAGTCACTGAAAACAGAACTCTTAAAAAAATACAGCTTTGAAGTAACCCAGCCCTAGAAGCAGAAGTTTTCACGTGTATGGTCAATGCAGGAAAGAATGCAAGTTCACTTCCAAGGTTTACTGCAAAGAAAGTAGTAAACAGAAAGGCTTACAGCACCTTAGAAGTTATACAGCTCCCTTCTTCATCTCCAGCACTTGAAGATGATTTCCCCACATGTCCCTTAATATCCACCCTCTCCCACCTTCTTTTTGGCCCAGGCTGGTCAGGAAGACCTCAGGCAAATGGTGCCAAAGCGAACTCGTCATATTTGGGGAGTGAGCAGTTGGAAGGAAAAGTCACCCTGCTGTAGCCTGGCTGTGAGCCTGGCCCTGCCCGTGGGTCCTCAGGAATGCTGTAGCAGAAAGGTGGTGCCTGCAGGAAAATTCTTCAGTGCTATGGTGAGATGACCTCGGGACTGGAGTCAAACAGTGGCTCGGTGGCTACACAGGCTGCCTTTTGGATAGGCTACAGAGGGTCAGGAGGGCTTTGTTGCTTGATAAATGCAGTTCAGGTCCCAGATAGCTCTGCCCAACAGCTGTGAGCCGGCCTGCTTTCTTCAGGATGCTCAGTGATTGCCAGCATTTGGAAGAATGAAACTTTGGTGTGTCTGTGTGTGCGGCTGCAATGCTGATTTATTGTATCTCCTTTCTGACTCTGGTCTGGGACTGCCCTTCTGCCAAATGATCCAGGGGCAGCATGGAATGGGACAGCTCCACAGCACTGGCACCAGCTTCCAGACACCCTGAGCTGTGCAAACCCAAGGACAGGTGATGATGATGATGATGAGAAGCCTTGAGCCAGGGCAGCTCACAGGAGAATATTTTTCTGTTCCCCTCACAGGATATGAACCACACATGGAAGTCTCACGCTTTGTAAAAGGAAAGAGAAACCAGAGGGACTCCAGCAGTTATACAACATGCAGAAGCTGTTTGAGAGCTGCCTCCTAAAGGATTAGCTACAAATCCTTCCTCTCTTTACAGCTGTAGCCTTGTGTCTGTGTGCATCCTGTGAAGCAGTGTAGAAATGAATAAATAAAAAGGACAGCATTAAGTAACACAGGAACACTCGTGTCCATGTGGTATTGCCTGCATCATCCAGATGGAAAGTATCTGTCTAGACAAATCTGGGAATTATGCAAGCTCAGAATTCCTGAATAGCTCTTCAGTTCCAATATCGTGGAACATTTGCAGTACCCACAGAAAATAGGCACAGAAACATGGGGGGAAAGAAACCCTTCAATTCCAACAGCCAGGATACCTAAATACTAGTGATGTGTTGGATGAGAGAAGGAGGAAATGCAGGAATATGGAGCAATGTCCTTGCTGTGTGCATGCTGACTCATCCCCGAGGAGTCAGGATCATCCCTGGTGCTCACTCCTGTCTCAGCAGAAGTGGAGCAGGCTCCTTTGAGCTTCTTGTGGTTCTCTGCTGCCTGATGCCCTGGACAAGGCACAGAGATGCTTGTTTCCACTGCTCCGGAGCTGTTTGTTTCCACGGTGCTCAGACAAGCAGAAGGAATGAAAACAAAGAGGGAAAGATGGGCTGTCCTGGTGCAAACCACAACAGCATAAAAATAAATCACTCTTGGCCTGGGAGAGCAAAAAATAGAAGCAGGACAGAAAACACGGAATTCCCGCTCTGGACCAGGAGCTGCTGCTGACTCTGAGCAGTGCCCAGGGATCACCGGGGCTGGGAGCTTAGCACAACTCTAGAGTTGTAGTGACCCTTTTTGGTGTTCTTGGGAAACAACGGCCCGGCCAGAGGAGACAGAAGAACGGAGCAGTCAGGAGCTCTGCCTGCAGAGCAGCACAACCCAGGGAGAGGATGGCACAATTCCCAGTAGTATATAGAGAAACGTAAGTTTTAAAAAAGCAGAGGTCGTGATCCAGCAGTCATCCAGTTTGTGACAGTTTTATCACTGGCTCCAGGGGGACAGGTTCAAACCTTCCGAGGGTGCATCCAAACGGAAACGTCGCTCTGGAGGAAAAGGGGCTCACGTTTATCCATCTGGCCTGGCCCCTCCAGTGCTGCAAAGGACAGTGAGAGACAGCATTGTGTCAATTCTGCCCTCCCTTTCTTCCTAGCGAAGAAAGAGTAAAGAGCAACTGTGGGACTGAGTGGTAAAACAAGTGCTTGTTTTGCCACTGCTGTACCACTGTTTGGGGGCAATCAGGGCAATATTTATGCAGGGCTGCAGCAGGACATCATGCCCGAGCCACCGTTGGATCAGCAGCCCAGAAAGCAGATGTGCCAATTTCCTGTCCTTGATGATGATGGGCCCTAATTACGCCAGAGCTGTGGCGATGTCCTTTCTTGTGTATGACCCCTAATTTGGTTTCATGAAGTCATCTGTGCCAGGTTCTTCCGGCTGCAAGGCTGGGGTGAGTGACAGTCACAAAGAGCCGTGTGCTCTGTGTGCCCTAACACCTGGCCCGTGCCTTGAACAAACAAAATTCAACTGGGAACAAACAATATTCAGGCAACCCACTGGGATTTGGCTTAGCTGCTTGGCTTTCTTTACCTCTTGCAGGTATCATGCCTGCTAACAGGGGGCTGTGTCCTGAGGGGAATGTTCCAAGACAGGTGTAGGTACTCAGCAGAGAGCAGCATTTAAGGGAGGCTGCTCACTTTTGCGGGGATGAATTTCAGAACTGGGGGGAAAAACCAGTCCCTTTTGTTTTTTCACCAGAGAAAATCCCTTGCTGGTGTTGCTCCTGGTGCTTTTTTCAATTTTTCACTATTCCTTTCCATGGTTTTTGACAGTTTATTTGGGTTTTTCTTTCCCCTTTCTTTCCTCTTTTTCTTTCCCCCTCATAATTTGAGGAGTTCCCCAGTTTTGGAGATTGCCAGCAGAGCATTTATTCAGCTTGTGTATTTAAACAGAGGCTTTTATAAATTTGAGACAGGCTTTTTGAATGGCATTGGAGGGGGGATGTTTCAGCTTTTTTCTTGTGTGACATTTTGAGGGAGCTTCTTGGGGTTCAAATTTTTTGTTTTTTCTTCCCTTCTTTTCCTCAGAAGGTCTTTGTGGAATTAGACATTTGTCTTTTGGTGTAGATCCTGCTTTGGGTGGGTGGGGTCACTGCTCCCGATTGCTCCTGAGCCCAGCCACTCTCCCCAGGAACTGTTTGTTGTTCCATGACTCTGGGACTATGGTTATTGTACCAGCAGCTCCCATCTCTGGGATCCCCGAGCCCCAGAACCACCTGGGTTTGCTGCTGGTGGGAGAGGATGGTGGTGAGCATTTGGCACAGAGGTGGTGTGGAGGTTTGCAGGGCAGTGAGAGGTGAAGATTCTGCTCCCAGGATCCTCAGGGATGTGCAGCGAGGGCCTGGTGGCCACACGGTACCTGCTTCTGCCTGTGCCTGGTGGAGCAGGTGCTGTCCTGAGGGAAATGTGCTGCTGGCACAGGTGGGACTGTGAGAGCCTGGTGGAGGAAAGAGCTGCACAAGGAGGATTTGGGGCTGTGTAGCACCAAGAGGAGCAGGTGGAGAGATGCCAGACTTTTGGTGGAGCTTCTGCAGTGACCAGGCTGCAGATAGGAGCCAGGGCACGTGAGTTGGAGGTGGTGCTGCCATGAAAGGGGATGGAAGCTCCACACTGGGGCTGGGTGACAGCTTGTGCCGCATGGAAGCTGGAGAAGGCTCTGACCCAGCATTTTGTGAGGGAAGGAGAACTGAGGAGTGAGGTTCTAGGTGCTGGGCATGCAGAGTTGGGGGGACTGGAGAGGCCTTGGGAGGGGTCAAACAGCTCCAAGGAATACTTGAGCGGGTCCTTGTGGCATGGCCAGTGTGGGGAGAGCAGAACTTCCAACTGTCCTGCTGGTCCAGGATGCCATGTGGATACCAGGGTGGATGGATTTGGGATCAGTGTGAGAAGGATGTGGGTGCACCACTCTGTGGGTGCAGAGCTCCTCAGGGGCAGGCTGGCTGTGTGCCTGAGGCTGGGAGAGGCATGCAGCAGCCTGTAGGGGAACTTTGTCACCACACAGCTAGAGCTGAGCACTGGGGCAGGGCAGCCAGAGTGGTTGGGATCACAATCACGGAATATTCTCAGTTTGAAGGGACCCATGAGGATCACTGAGTCCTATTCCTGAGTAAATGGCCCATGTGGGGATGGAACCCACACCCCTGGCATTTTAAGCACTAGGCTCTCAAAACTGAGCTAATTTGGGGTCAGCTCACTTTTTGGGGTTCAAAGGCCTGACTAGATTTTTGATCTGTTCTTGGCCATGTTTAGAGCAAGAGGTAAAGCCATCTGAGGTACTTTGCAACCTGACTGGGTGTTTCTCCTGCTTGCCTACAGCCCCTGCTCTTGGCTGCAACACCGTTCTGCTGCCCTGTGTAATTTCAGGTCAGTGAAGATTTCTACACCAAACTCCAGCTAGACCATCTAGAGGATGTGCTTGGGGAAACGCCACATTCAGAAGGTAGGATGGGGCTCTTATTGCAGTCAGCTCCTGGTTCTGCTGCTGGCAGACCAGAGGGCAGGAAGGGTGCCTGTGGGAGCAGACGTCTTCTGGCTGACTCACGGCCCTGCCTGGTTATTCACCAGCCAAATCGCACCGGTGACTTGGCATACATCAGCCTTGCCCTGTTCATGTGAGCTGCTCCCCTGGCTGCCTGGATGGCAAGGGTTTCTGATCGTCAGCGTGACTGTGCTAGCCTTAAGACATGAGTGAAGCAGCTGGGATGTGTCCTATCTGACTGGTGTCTACATCTGTGTGACTCTGAATTACCTTTTCCTCAGTTTCTCCACATGTAAAAAGTTTAACTTACATGCACTCATGTCCTGCTGTCTGTCATCCAAGGTTTTATCCTTTTCTTCCTGTGTCTGGGCAGTTAAGATGGGTAGAGGTGGAGCAGTGTTGACTGGATTGCAGCCTTCATTTTCTGCAGTGCTGTTGGCAGAGCAGCAAATGCTACAAGGGCAGGAAGGGTCATGTCCCTTTCCCCAGGGACAAACTGGTGAGGCAGCTTGGCAAGGAGGTTGTATGTTTTCATGGATCAGCTTAGCGGGGTGTAGAAGGTAGTGTGCATTACTGGTATTGCCTTTGGGGAACAGTTAGAGTTGCCATGCCAGTCAGTAATAACCACAGGGAGAGAGCTGGGATACTAAACTCTCATCCCCCATGGGGCAGTATTTTCATGTTCATATTGAATTCTTTTGCCTATAAAGTCTTTTAAAGAAAATGTTTCACTCAGCAAAGATAACCAAGAAGCAAAATAGCTTATGGTCCAGGAGTAGTATGGCACCATAGCCCAAGACAGCTGTAGTGAAGCATGTTGAGCAGGAAGGGCCTTCAGTCCCTGCTGAGGATATGCAAAGCCATGGTTTAGTTCCTTGGAAAACTCATTTCCTGAGTTGGAGACGGTGATGAGTCAGTGTGCATTCACCTGGGCAGCTCATCTTGTGACACAGATGAGCCATAAGCTCCTCAGTAGCCCCCTACTAGTCCCATGCTCTCCCTCTTCCTCTGCTCAGGAGCATTTACTTGTTTTGCTTGCTGTTCCAGGATTTTGTGCTCCTGCCTTCACAAGAGCCATCAGAACCAGCTGCACTTCGGAGAATGAGCCAGAGTCACCCTGGGCTTGGAAAGGTACTGGGTACAGAGAGCAAAAGTAATGGGAAATGGTGTCAGCTGCAGTGAGTGGGCAGATGTTCCAGATAGACAGGGTTTGTTTGGAACCAGTCTAGTACTCTGCAATTAGAGTTATGCCCTTAGAAATAAAGTTTACTTGGGAAGTCATCAGTGACAATCAGTGTGCCAGCAATGTTTGTCCCCTCCAGGACTGTCTTGCAATCTCTGCCTGTGCTCTCAGCACCTTCCCTGTTACCTGCCTGCCATCCGAGCGCTCGCTCAGGCTGGAAGCACGGGTAATGGCAGTCTGTTCTCTGCAGTTTGGCTGGGCGAGGTGACCAGTGTGCACCCCTGAGCGTGCCACGCTCAGCATGTTTTGTCCCATTAGTTTTGGGGCTGCTCTGCAGGCACCAAGTGCAAGGTTGGCCACAGGCAGGAGTTACAGAGAGAGCACAGCTACTCTGAGCTAGAAACATGGCAACTGTTCATCATGTCTGTCCTTATCTGCAGGAAATAAGGAGTAACCCCCATAAATCCTGTCCTATAAACCAAACCCTCCTGAGCTCAGGTCTCATGAGCCACGTCACAGATCCTGGATGAGCGGCAGGGAAAGGTGCAGCTGAGTCACCAGCAGTGAGTCAGCACCTTGCTGCCGCAGGGCAGCTGTTTGTACACACAAACGTGAGCCTGCTCTGTCCTTGTCTTCAGACACAGCGTACACTCTTCCCCAGACGGGCAGGTGACATCAGTGCAGCGTGTGACTGGATGTGCACGTTAGTGACATGTCTGAGTGACAGTGCTGGGGGGGGCTGCCGGTGTCTGAGGAAGCAACAGGAACATGGATCTCAGTGATCCGAGTCCCCTAGAGATTGCTGGCCAGCGTGGGCATGTGTAAGCAGGGCTGAGCGGCCACAGCTGCAGCACTGGTTCCTTTCAGCCAGGGCAGCAAACCTTGGGGGTTAATATTCACTTTTCCAGTTTCGCTTGTACTGCAGTCTCCCAGTGTGATCACTGGGGGAAAGGACCGTGTGGGGTGTAACGCTGCATCCTGGCAGCACAGGGAAACTGGGTCTGTACAGCATCCCCAGGGTCTGCATACATCACCCAAACTAACCCTCAGGTGTAACTGGAAGCAAACACAAAAATAATGGCAATTCCTTCTGGGGCCTTGGCTTGGCTTCTTCCCCCTGTCCTGCCTTACAGAAATAATGGGCTGTCTCTGCTGCTGTGCGGTGAGAGACAGCTCCCATCATCGAGTGGAGGTTTTAGGGGTGTGCAGTAGGAAGGCACAACTTCCTGTGCCTCCTCTGTAAAGTTCCTAGGCATCCTGGAATACGATGCATAACAAAAAACACCAAACAGAACGCTAAAAACACCAAAAAAAAGCAAAACAAAAATCCACAAGCAAAACAGGCAAAAAAACCCCCTCCAAACCAGCTTTTCAGCTGTTGTGCTGAGGGAATTTTCATTCAACATCTTGTAGGCAGTGTTTCATGTCTTGCAGAATGAAAGTTACTGAATGTAGCTCATGAAGGCAGAATGCTGTGATATAATTTAGAAGCTCATTAGAGATCATAATCACAGTGACAGATGTTGGTGGGAAGTAGGAACCATCACAAAGAGAAATAGAGAGCTGTTTGTCATGAGGATACTAGATCATATGGGGGCAACATTTTCTGAGATATCTAAGGGATCTGATTATCACTTGGAGGTTTCCATCTAGGTTTCACATATAAATCGCTTGGAAAATAAGACCGGAGCGCTCAAATATTGAAAGGCCTTTTCACAACTTGGCTTGTGAGAGCCATAAATTGAAGTGGAAGCAGCTGAGCTGCACGGGTAGCTGAAGCAGGGGCCAGTGGCATGTGCTGCAGAGGAAAAGGCTTCTAAGGGCGGCCAAAAGGTGTTACTCGGCCTGTGACTGGGGTAAGCGTGAAATCGCCACCAGATCTGGAGATGTGCACTCTTCCTTTGTGCTACCCACTTCCTCGGGGTTGCACCATCAAGATTGAGACAGATTCTGCAATTCCTGTGCAGGAGCAGTGACTCGGATGTGGCTGCTGGCGTGAGAGGCGTGCGCAGCTCCGTGGGGACGGAGCGGAAATCCCGGTCTGCCGGAAATCCTGGGTGGCAGGGCCGCAGTGCGGGTTTAGCCCCCACTGCTATTGCTCCTGTGGGATTTGGAATTGCAGAGATGGCAAGGGGGCTGGTGGCCAGCCTTGGCAAGTGGAACTGCAGGGCCTCAGTAGTGGAAGGAGGTTAACAGAATCATCATTGGGCTCTGCTGGCATGTGGGATCACTGGGGTGTGAAGTCACCTGATGGAAGCATTGCCCAATAACAGAAATCCCCCAGCAGAAAATAAGCTTTTGTTGCTGCAGTGCTGTTCTTCTGAGGTGTTCCATCTGCTTTACAAAGAGTGTCTGACTGAGCCCAGCAACGCTTCCGTGAGAACAGCATCTCTAGTGACAGCTTCCAGCTGTCTAGCAGATGAGAGCACCCAGGTGTCATGGCAAACAGGGAGGGAATTATAACCATCCCGTTTTACTGAGAGAGGGATGCTCTTGCAAGACAAAAAGGAACCACCTAGTTGGTCTATTTGACAGCTGAATTAGTGCCTCAAGTAGCCACTAAAAATTAGACTCTGGAATGTGCTGTAAGTTCATACAAGCAAATATAAGAGAGTAAGCCTAAATAGTTGGATTAATTTTACCTTTGGAATGTGGGCTAAGCAATTTTACATAGTTACTTTGAATGATCTTTAAACTTTTGTGTTAAAAAGAGGAGAGCCCAGCAAGACTACCTCGGGGCTCAGCCTGGCACAGCCATCCCGACTCTCGGTGGCCCTGGCAGGGCAGGAGGGGCTGCCATGTGCCACAGGGCACAGAATGCAGTCAGAGCCCTGAGCTGGTGCTGTGGCACAGATGATCTCCATAAACTGTGATGACATTAATCTAATGTATGCGTTCTCCTACGAATGTGAATACCAACAAATACAAATCCCATGCAAATCAGGCACTCGCGCAGTATGTGCAAGCGGCTGAACATCTGAGGACTCAAATATTATATCAGAAGTTGTTCGCAGACATGCCTGTTCCAAAATTTGCTGTTACACCACCCTTCTGTGTTCCCATGGGAACTCTCAGGTGAGGGAGAGATGTGCTCCCTGCTTCCCTCCAGCTAAGAGAAGTTTGTGAAGTAAAACCTGGCTTCCCTGCTGGATTCCTCCTCCTCCCCCAAGCCTGCAGCTCCTTCAGATGCCCAGCTGCCTGGAAAGACTTCCCCAGCCTCTGTGGTTTTCCCTTGGGGTAGTGGAAAGGTGGATGTTATGCGTTCCTCAGAAAAGGAAGTGGTACCCTCTGCCAACTGGCAAAGAGCAAGTGCTGGCACTGACTGCGGGAGAGAAATCATGCGCTCATTCTGCAGGAGCACGTCTTGGGAATCCCTCTTCCAGTCCTTGCCTGGCTCTTCCAGCTGTGCCCGCTGCAGCCCAGGTGCTTGAAGGGACTTCGGGGGGGTGTGTCCCAAAGGGGCTGAGGAGCTCCTCAGGATGGTGTCTCTTGGATTTTTTTGAGCAAAAATCTTTGCATCTCTCAACCGAATGAAGAGGGAAGCTAAGGGAGCTGAGAGCTTTGCCAGAGGCTGCAGGAAGGGAAGGAGAGAGTGAATTTACTGCCCCTCAGCCAGTGCCATGGGGTATTCAGGTTGCAGCAGGAAAACAAAAAGGTAGGAACAAGTGTGAAGCATGCAAGAACACCAAGTCTAAAACCCCATAGTCCATGTGTTTTCGTTGTTGTTTTTTTTTTTCAGCTGCTGGGGAAAGCTCAAGGGTTTCAAAATGGTGCTGGATCTCATAAAAGGAAGTCTGATGGATTCAGCAGAGTTCATACAAACACCCCAGGAAGAACAGGAGGAAAATAACCCAGCAGCTCATGTGCAGGCAATCAGAGGTGATGCAGTGGAGGGACTGGGGTGCAGAGATGAGGGCCTCAATGAAAACAATAGGAGAGGCTTGTTGAGGGATGTGTTGTTGTCTATACCCAATTGCCCAGGTTGTTCTTTTCTCCTGAAACCATAGTTACTGTGCAATCACGGCAGGGGATTTAGGAGAGGGAGCAAGTCTGTCCAGGGAGTTATATCCCACACAAAGACTCTTCTCCCTTTAAAGTGGCCAGATTTTGCAGTGGCACAGGGAGACTGCCAGTGGGAGCTGGGAATGGCCCTGGAGAGGCACCTGTCCTGGCAGTGGCAGTGGGTACTTGCCTGGCTCCAGAAAGGGAGTGCCTCGGGAGCACATCTTGGAGGGGCTGTGGGGTTCTCTCTACCAACCCAGAGCTCACAGGTTTGAACAATGTCCCATGAGATCCCTTCTGGTTTTCCCCACTATTCCCTCTGTGCTCTCAGCTGCTCAGAGGGTTCCAGGGGACTGCTGATTTCTGTGCTGAGAGAAAATAATCTGGTGTCTCTTAGGCAGTGGCAAATTGTGTGGGCTGAGACCACATTTACTGTTGGCCGAAGCCTGCAAGTATTGCACGCACAGCCCTCCTTAATGAAAAGCCCCAACCTCCGCCAGCAGGTTAAGAGTCAGGCCAGCCACCCCTGGCACATGGATAAATCTTCGTCCCGAGCTCATCAAATCCCCAGCCTGCTCGTTCAAGAGGGATTCGCAGGAGGTAATACAAGAGTGACCTTTGCTCTGCCATAAATGCGGGTGCACGTGAACCAGCTCAATCAGCAGAGGCTTTGTTTTGGCTCCCTTCACCTGGGGTAGTTTGTCTCACCCAGCAGCTGCGAGATCACTGCAGCATCCTGGCAGCACCATGTGAGGTGCCTGCCTTTCCCTGTCCCCTCTTTTGTCACTCCTTCAGGTGGCTTTTCCAAGGTCCTTTTGACCTTGTGGGGCTGCTTTTCCCTCTCCCCATGACTTCCTATCTTTCCAAGTACTTTGTAATCTTGACAATGTTGATTTTTACTGCAGTAAGGGGAAAACGTGGCTTTTCTTTTGATAGCCAGATTGCATGTTTGTTTGTTCTTTTATTTTTGGCTTCTTAGAGCTTTTTGCCACTTTTCACTTTCTAATTGTCTCTTTTTCTAATCCAGGCACTTATGCTCAAAGCCAACATTTCTTATGGCAACTTTTTATCACCTGCTGGCTAGAACAGAACAGAAAAAAAACAGATTCTGGCTGAAGGACCTACAAAAGTAGTAAAACATAAAGGCTTGTTTTAAGGATTTCTTCTTTGATAGAATAGAAAAAATGCAGTGTTTAGAGGTGAAAGACCTGGCTGCATGCAGAGGCCTGGCCTGAGCTTTAGAACAGAGTATCTCTAACTTGAGAGAAGGCAAGTGGGATCCCAGTTTATGTCGCAGGGGGAAAAAACCTACCAAAAAGGAATTGCTTGGGCACCCAGATGGTTTGCAGCTCTGGATAATGCATTGGGGGCTGGCAGGAGACAGGAGGTAATGAGCAGGTCTGATGGGCAAGGCAAATCGAGCAGAGGAGAGGTGGTGGTGGGCACAGGACCCTGGTGAGGGAGGTTGTGCCTGCTGAAATGGGACGCTGCAGTGCAAGACTGGCAAAAAAAGGAACAGCAGTCCTTGATCTCTTGGGAAAAAGGCATCTGTGTGTCTTGAATAACACTCATGTCATGTCTGGAGATGGCTCAATTTTTTCAGGACCCTGTAGAGTCCCTGACTATTTTGCTGAGACTGTGTGCAGGGAGCTACAGCTTCATTGTTGTTTTTAACATTAGTTAAGCAATAGGCTGGAAAACCCACGTGTTTCTCGGAGGCACTGGTATCCAGCCCCTCATCCGAGGTTTGCCTGGTCCCCGATGTCACCAGGAGCTGCGGGACGCTGAGTGCCAGCTCAGGGGGATGTACAGGAGCGCTGCCTCCGGGGCAGGAGCAAGCTGCAGAGTGACCTGTGAGTGGGCTTGTCCCCAGTCTCTGTGGACACTGACAAACAGAAAGACAGAGGCAATGGTGGCAACAGGTAATGTTAAAATGTTTGCTGTGAATGTTGAGGCTTAATGCTAAACAGCAACATTTCAGAATCCCTCAGCACAGCAAGACCCCAGGCATAGATGACAAGCTCTCTGCGAATGAGGAGCACCCGGAGTAGCACTGTCAGAGGTGGTTAATGGAATTGGGTGTTGATCCCTGTTTACCTGCTGGTGGTGGCTCTGGAAGGAGGGCTTCTTCCTTTGCTGGTGGGGTCTAAAGCCTTTAGCGATGCACAAGCGCTCCACGTGAGCCCTGTGCACTGCCCCAACACCTCGGTGTTGGTGCTGCCAGCCCTTCTGGGAGCCCCCAGCCATGGGCCATCCCCTTTGTGCGTGGCTGCCTGCCAAGCCCCAGCTCACCAGGACCCATGCCAGCCCAGGTCAGAGTTGGGCATCCACCTTGGATCACATGTCTGGAACCTTCTCTTAGCATTCCTGAGGGCCTGTTCACAAAAGCTTTGTCCGCCTGCTTCCTTGCAGTAGCCCGTGAGCAGGGCCAACCCACCCATGTTCCCTGGGAGGTTATTCCCGGCTGAACAAGCTTTGCTCCATGGAACTGATCTGCTGAAGTGCACTTGCCTTCCTCGCCATCATTCCACTAGGCAGGCTGCAGAGATAACGTCCGTCTTTGTTCTGATGTGAGACCCTTGCGTAGGTACACAATCTTCCCCGTAGTGTATGCTTAAAATAGATAAAATGCCTTTTCTGAATTGCAATTTAGATTGATTTTGATAGAGAGGATGGCGGAATCATACACAGAAGAAAAAAAAAAAATCTTTTAAAATGAGAACGGAATCAAATATAGTTTAGTAGTATACTCGTTACAGAATGAACAGCATATTGTATGTGCTGTGTTAGAGGTATGTTATGAATAACAAAAGCACTGGAGCATTTACATATTTGTTTTCAGAAATCCTGGCAGTTGGATTTCACCATTCTGCGCCTCTTTGCCAGAATCACTAAACAGTGGTACATATGGCTTCTGAAGTACCATATGCCGTGGAAAACGTTAGCTGATGCCTATACTGATGCGACACGCTATAGTCTTTATTTAGATTTTTTTGCAGTTTTGAACAAAGAATATTAGATCATGCAAAACATTGTGCAAGCAGTATGGAGTAGTACATACAGGAAAACATAATGCATTGTGCCCAGAGAAAAGCCAGCTAAGAAAAGGGGAAGAAAGGGGGGTGTCGGGAATTAGAATGTGCACGTGCCAAGAAATGCATCAAAGGGCGGGACACGGCTTTGTGCGGCCAAGGCAGGAGGTTTTCCAGTGCTTGAAGCAGAGTCAAGAGCCAGAACTCGGTGGATGTGCAGGTTTTGAATCAAGAGATGCTATATTTGATAAGAGAGATGCTCCCTGTTACAAAAAGTAGCACTCAGGCTTAAATCTAAGTGCATGCTTGAAATCCTCGGAGAGCAAAGGAAACCACGTGCATGAGTGCTTTCCTAGAGCCCTCCTTGGGCAGGAGCAGGGATAACTGCTCTCTCTCCCGTATCATTGTCTGAAAATAATGATGATGAACACAATGAGTTTAGCGAGAAGCGTCTTGAAAACAAAACAAACACAGTTTCCAACACAGCGACCGCTAAGCCCAACCTGGCATTAAAAAATGAATCCGGGCTTTTGTTTTGACAAGTTTTGTTTTTTGACAAGTTCCGCGCCCCCCCTCAGCCCCTCTCCCGGCTCCATCTCACCGCTGCTGCGCTCACATCGCTGATGTGGATGGCAGCGCCCAGGGGAGCCTGGTGGCGGGGCTCTGGGGAGTAGCCAGAGGACACCGTGCCCATGGAGGGGAAGGAGAGCAGCGAGGTGTTTCTTGTCATCACGGCTCCCTGCCGGAGCAGCGCCCCGCTCTCCCTTTTTCCCTTTTCTCCGGGCTCCTCTGTGTGCTGAGCGCTGCTCGGTGAGCACTTAATAGGCTTAACTTTAAGCACCGGAGCGGACCCAGTGGGATTACTCACGTATTTAAAGGAAGGTATAATGCTCGGAGGGGCGGGAGAGGCATCGCGTCTCTGTCTCTTGATTTGGCTACTGCTCTTAAAGCCACGGAATTCTAGCGTCTGAGGATGGGAGGTTATGGGGTTCACATGGGCTCTGCCAGCAGTGGGTTGGGGTGTATGTGGGGCAGCGAGCGTTAAACCACGCAAATTGGGAAACTGGGGAAATCTCTTCCAATGTGCAGACATTTGCTGTTTGAGGCCAACCAACTAACCAGAACAGAGACAAACCCAGCGCAGAAACAGAAGGTGGATAAGGCTCAGTCCAGAATGCAGCCGGAGCAGAACGACTTCCTGGGGAGGTGAGAGCAGAAGGAAAGGGCTCACAGCTGAGCTGTGCCGCAGATGGCCAGGCAGAGGATGGCGGGGAAGCCGCTGCCTGTGGGAAGAGCACGTGTGGTGTCAGAGACGGGCTCCACCGTGGAACACTTGTGCTGACCTGGGAGGGCTCTTGGTGAACATGAGGATTTAATAGCACAGGTAATTGTAGAGAGGCCAGTGCCAAGGGAGAAGCCTGAGATTCCCTGAATTCAGCCTGGCTGAAAGAAGCATGAAAGGCACTGCAAGCTGACAGTGGTCTTTCATGGTGCAAGCAAAAGTACTGGAACATTTAAGTAACTGAGGCTGTCACAGGAATTATCTGTGAGGCAAGAGCTGTGTGTGTCTGTGTCTGTAGGTAGGTAGCATCTCACACATTCTATGAAGCACTACCTGGATGGATGTAAACAGAAATAGAAGTCAGAATGGAAGCTAAGGGAAAACAGGGCTGAGGGGAGCTTTCACTGAGCATCTATTTGAGGTTGCCTCCCAGGCTCCTTGGAAAGCACCTAGTGGCTCAAATTCAAGCTTCATTATGTGGTTGTAAATTTATTAAATTAATAAGAGGGGAAGATTAACATCGTCACATCTATCTCCGATCGAGGCGTTTTAATTCCTTTGTAGGAACAAGTACCTTCCCGGAGCTTCTGAGCAGAGGAAAATGGAGCCTCTCTTCACGGAGAACGATGTTTGTAGCAGTGCCAAGCAGGTGCTCCTGCCCTCCACCTCTGTTCTCCACATCTCTGGTAAGGCAGGGCAGTGAGTGCCCAGCCTGCCCTGGGTGTGCAGCTGCCCCTGTGGGCTGTGAACCAAGCTGTCAGGGCCAGCTCTGAGCCCACTGTGTCACGAGCAGGGCGGCTGTCCAGGCTGCAGCAGGTAGACCCTCAGAGGGAAGGGAAGGAGGTCTGAGCCACGCTGCCCCCTGAGCAGGTCAGCACAGCTCCCTCCCCTGGCCTGGGCAGTTTTCCCAGCTGTCCTGGCATGAATCTCGCTGCGTTGTTGTGTGTGTCCTCCGTGAGCACGAGCAGGCCATTTGCTGCATTAGCCTCATTATGTTTCCTTTCCAAAAAGCGTCCACCGCTGTCTGCCGTGCGGTTTGGAAAGGGGTTAACGCTTTCCCCTCCCAAACCTCAGCTCACCAGCGCATTTCCCTTGTGCTGCAATTATGGAATGACACTTCACAACTTCATCTCCTCTCCTGCTACATCTGCTTGCTGCTCCCATGTGCAACCTCGCTCACATCCCAAACATCTAAATGCATTGTTTCCTCTGTTTCTCCTGCCAGCGTGGAAAGGAGCCATCCCTGAAGCAGGATTGCCTCTGAGCTGGCAGCAGACGAGTGATTGGCATTGGGCAGCGCTGCTGAGACTCTGGCAGGCCGTTTAGCAGAGAACCTTGGCTAATGAATGTCATCCACACCTAGCAGATGTGCCACTGCCTGCCATGCCAGATTTTTGACATAATACAGGGCTGCTGGACACAACAGTGCTCAGGAAAAGCCGGGGAGCGACTCGTGCCTTCAACGTGGCGCTTGGTTCCACTCGTGCTCTGTGAGAGAAATGAAACCTGCGGGGGGGAGGGAAGCACGTCCGCGTCTCCCGGTCCCCGACCCTGCTTTTATCGGTGCGTAAATCGTATTTGTGCTGCTTTCGCTCATGTGGTAAGGAATTTTAAAAGGAAAACCCCCCCCCTTTTTTTTTTTTTTTTTTTTAGGTTCCCCGTGCTTCCAGCCCCGGCTCTCGCTGGGCCTTCCAGCCTCCCGGCGGGTCCCAAGCCGGGGAACCGAGCAGGGGGCTCAGTGCCCCCCGGGAGCTGAGATGGCTGCGGGCAGGTGCCTGGCACCTGCATCTCGCCGCCGGCAGCATCCCGGGCTTCGTCTTTCCTCTCCTGCCCTCCATCGGAGGGAAGCCGCATTCGCCGGGCACAGCGGGGGGCCAGGGGGGGAGACCGGCTCCCCGGGAGCCCCGAACCCCTCCGGCTTTCCGGGACTCCCCCTCACCCCGCCCGGAGCGGGAGCGGGGACGGGGCCGCCTCCTAATCCCGGCCTAATCCCGGAGAGCGGCAGCAGAGCGGGCGGCCGCTAATCCCG